ATCCGCGCGGATATATGACGTCAGGATGGCGCAATTTGTTCTAAAAATAGAAAAATTGTCCCATATCATAGGTGCCCGCGAATCCCGAGACTTACGGTCTCCGTCCCCGATTATGGCTCCTGTTACCGTCTATAATATCACAATTTCTTGACTTAATCCGCGGAATGGTTTTTGATTTTATTTTTTATTGCGCGACAATGCACAGGCTTTATACCCGTTAACGTGGGGTTTTATGGCGTTATTTCTGCGTTATGAATTAAATACGAGAAACGCAACAAAACTTTGGAGGTATAAATCACTTTTTGCTCTTCATAACACAAATAAACGTCGAGAGCGGGGTCGATAAAGCCTTTCGTTTTAATTTTGTGTCATTGATAACGAAAAATCTAGTTTCCTGACTGAGAGATTGGAATTTTTAAACTTTTTTTTTCCCTTAGTCTTAGGAAATGTTGTGAAAAGTGCTAGCTGTGAAAGTTTAGCTGACCAATTTTACCATTGTGTAAACAATATATACGTGTCGAGTAGTCCTGGTGCAAATAATTGGTATTTGAGATAAGCCATTAGTCATTCCATTAGTCACGCAGGTTACTTTAACTATGCACGACAGTCAGAAGTCACAAGGCTAAACTGTCGAACTGAAAGAAGGGTCTGACGAGGTAAAATGGGAACTTGCTTTTGCCTCCTTTTTTCCCCTGAGAAAACTGGTCTGTGGAAACTGGGACTGGGAACCACAAACATAGGAACGGGACTGGGATTTGGGCGAACGGCAAAATCTGGACTGGAAAATGAGAATTATACCGCTCCCATCCCCCTATCCGGACCATCTTGAAACATCACTGCTAGAATTTCTTCACTCAGTTCAATTTATTTCGTTTCTTCTACAGGTCCTACCGTAATAGATCAAGATCGTTCTTCAAACACCCCACAATAAAGAAACCTCAAAGTATTTGTTTTGAAGGTATAACAAAACCTGAGAGTTGTATTCCTAATCAAAAGTTCAAGATCAAGAACTAATGGCAAACGGCAATGTCAAGTCAGCTTTAGCTAAATTTACTCATTATAGCGTTTGATATAGTGTTCGATATAGTGAGACTTGATGGGTGATAAAGTTTCATTATAACGCTCTTAATTAAGATTAGGTCGCCTCCTAAACAAGCCGGGGTAACTTGATTTACTGAAGTTTATTTTACTACTTGTCAGTTATTTTAAGCATTACTTAATTTGTGCTAGCGTTCTTTTTTTGTTGCTGTCGGTCTATTTAGCACCTACAGCTGTCCCTTAGCCACGCCCAAGTGCGCCTCATACAACGAATGCACCCCATAAAGCAACTCCTCATAAAACCAAGACACCCCACAAAGCAACTCCTCATACAATCAAGACACCACATAAAGCGACTCCTCATACAACTAAGACACCCTAGAAAACAATTCAAGAACTTGCGCCACCAAGGTGTCTCCTTCGCAGTGACCACCAAACGAATGACACCGCTCCCTCCACTGACAAACTTCACTGTAGCCTCAGGAGTTGAATTGTATCGCTCCATTAGGTCTGCTTCGCGTTCACCGCCTGGCAGCCATTGATCCTCTCGCTGCACAATGTCGGCCTCTTGGTAGGAGATCTCTCCATTGCGCATGAGCGTCTCCAGCAGCACAGTGCCCGCCGGGTAGTCATGATTAGTAACAATTGCTGGAGTTAAAACAAACAAGACAATCAATGATTTATCTACTGAATCACAGTGTGAAAGCAAAGCGATACTCCTTTAACTCATTCTCGCTGTAAACAGTGATCCAAATGCTTGTTTTCAGATTTTGGCGGGGCTGTTTATCTTAGTGGCATACTGTCGCAACAAAAGTCAACTGCCCATTTGTGTTCTCTGCCAATCGTAATTTCATTTCATTTGGGGTCTTTATTCGCGCTTATTTACGATATGTAGATCTATAGAAACACGCGCACAGTTGCAAATTCCTTTGAGACTTCGCAACTTTTGAGACATTTGAGATTCTGCATGTTGAACTGCATGCCGCCTAGGTAGCTGCCACCCCTTTCCTAAATCTCTGTCCTAACTATCGATGCGCTTCGCCTCTACCACAGTTTCAAGGCTTTTTAAAATTTTCAAATTGGAAGGAAATTCTCTCACTTCCATATCTAGGTTCTTCTTGCTGATCTCTCAGTTGTTGTGTCTGTTCCCTTCGATCACTGGAGTAGCTTCGCCGGCCTTCATTTTCATCACTCGGCACAAGCTGCTCCTTGTCATCTTCCACCACAAACTGCAAAGAAAACGTCTTTTTTACAAAAGCAATGCATAGTAAAAGGCTTGCCTGTAAGGAAACGTAAACATAGGGCTCTAAACTAGACCTCTTCATCACGCGGTGGCCGGCGCACTACCATACGGCCACTGTACTGCACGTTTCTGAATACAGCGTCTAGTTGAGGCTATATGGAAATAATACACCAGACATGCCAAGAAATAAATGAAAGCAAAGAAAAAAGAGTCATCTTCCGTTCAATTATCATCACAGGCATACCTCTTGATGGTTACCTCTGACGTCTGGCGGAGTGACGTCACGTTCCTCACGTATTGGCATGGGTACTGGCTTTGGTTTTGGCTGATATTCAAACTTCTGTCCTTTCTTGCTTAGATCAAAGTAATGCAGCAGCGCTTTTTCGTGGATCTCTCGGTGTTGTTTGTTCCAAGAAAAGATGAAACTTTTTCGTCCGTCAAGATATTCCTCGGTGAACTGTGAACCCACTTTCCCTCGAGCCCAACGCGAGATCACAGTACGTTCTTCTTCGTCTTCATCTCTGTATTGATCGTCTCCACCAATCACTATTAAGACTCTGTCCCCTTTATGGAGATGAAATACTGTTTCAGTAAAAGCATTTGCAAATAGAACAAGTTCCGAAATCGTTTGCTTCTTCTTCCGAGGAAAGTTTCGTTCATCATCTAATATCTTTAGAGCTTTATAGCTTTCCATTTATTTAATTAGAGATGCTTTTTGGAAGCGTTCGACATTAATTACCAAGGCATTAAAGATCATTTCCAGTCCGTAATGCGGAGTCTCAGCACCCTTATGTTTATAAACATTGTAAGCCTCATTCGATGGAATGCGAATCGATGTTATTCGTTACGAACCACATACCTTATCTTTGAGGCCTTTCAAATTCTTTTTCCAACAGCTTTATTGATTTTCACGGCTGCGAAGTTGTTTCATCAAGTGATATGAGAAAAAACTTTGAAATATCTTCATGTAAGTAGTTGTGAAATGATTACATTTCGTGATTTCTGACATGAAACAAAACTAAAAACGTAAACAAATTCTCGAGAGTACGCAGTACCGACTGGAAATCATATTAATTAAGGAAATGATTACATGGAGATTTAATTAAGAAATTAATTAAGGGGTTAATTACTTGGAGATTTTAGCCCGGTTAGTGGGGGCTGCGATTCTGAAACAATCCCCTTAAAATAAATTGGAAAATAACATAAGAGAGGGCCGGTTTAAGCCCAGGTCTCAGCTCTGGCTGTAAATTCAAGTCCTCGCTGTTTTATTTCCAGCCCGGGTAAACGAACTTAAAAAGCCACAAAAAGCCCATGCAATAATAAGGAATGAAATTTCTGCCCGGTCAGGTTGACTAGTGAACTTGAGCATGGTCAGTGATTCTACTTCATCATTGGTCATTGGTCGTTTCGGAGGCATGTGAGAGAGAGCGCGCGAACCTGGGAGATCAATTTGTGTGTGATCTTTGGGGGATTAAGCTTATCTGGCGAGCTATGCAGTTTTTTCGGTCATTTTACCCGACCATGTCCAAGGAACAAGACAAAGATTACCGCCACGATGAAGACGCCCTTTTGAGAGACGACATGGAATCGACCAACGCAGCAGAAAACACTGAAAAGTCTAAGAACTCGAGCGACTCGCTCGCCGCTATGATCGCCAACATGAATCAGACCATGGTGGCGATGGCGGGAAACATTTCCTCAATGGGAAATGCCTTGAAGAGAATGCATGCTGACACAGCAACACCTTCTAATGCTAAAAGACAAAAAACCACGACTGCTCGTCGCGATG